CTCTTCTCCCAAATAACTAGCGATAGGATGAGAGCAAATGGCCTCCATTTGCACCAGGGGAGGTTTAGATTGGATATTAGGAAAAATTTCTTTACTGAAAGAACGGTCAACCATTGGAAGAGGCTGCCCAGGGAAGTGGTGGGGAGTCACCATCACTGGAGGTTGTTCAAAAAATGTGTAGACGTGGCACTTCAGGACATGGTTTAGTGGGCATGGTGGTGTTGGGTTGATGGTTGGATTTGATGATTTTAAAGGTCTTTTCCACCTTAATGATTCTGTGATTCTGTTAAGTTTGAAGGAGACCCCTAGGCTAGGATGGTCCCATTTTATTGTTTTCCCTACTATGGTGGGTTCTGGCATTGTGTTTCTTCAGCTTAGTGCTGCGTAGTTTCAATTCTATGCAGTCTTCATATGTTTGTGATTTTTTTGCTTTTAAAGTTGTGATATACATTCAAAACTATCAATGATAAGTATCATCTGTGATGATTCTGTGATTCTGTAACTGGTGCACATTTTTCACTGCTTAAAGTTCCAGCCCAAATGGTCACATACTTCCCTTTATACTATGGATTGTTGACACTGTCATCAAAGTAAGTTTGGTAAGAACTTTGCCTGCTTTCCTAGCACTATTCTTTTCTTTCTCTGACTCATTTTGTTTCTTTTCTGTGTGGTGATAATTTTTTAATGCTGTTTCTAATGGAGCTGAAGCCAACTTCTTCCTTTCTCTTATTTGAGGCCTCTAATATGTTCTGGGCTACAAGTGGCAAAAGCCTGAGGTTTTAATTTTTAGTTGCCAGAGCTAGTGATGCATAGAGCAGTGGATGCACACAGTAGGACGTGACTGGAGGGCCCAAATCTGGTTTGAAGAGATCTGGTTTGTAAGGACTGATCCTAATCCTGAGTTGTTGTACCTTCTTAATTCCATTTGTCTTGTATGGTGTGTACTGAAATACCTGTACATTTCGTAGCTACAAAGTAAAGCTTCCTGTGACATCATTGGCCCCAGTGCCGCATTACCTTTCAACTGGACCAGTCTTATGAAATTAAAACAAACCCATGCTAAAAGAAAAATTTGAGACTTACTTTGAAGGTGCTGGACATAAGTGTTATGAGTAATTGCAGTTGCAGGTAAGTTTCATCACAGTCGCTGACTGTGTAAGAGCTTGCTGCAGCTAAGAAGGGTGCTGTGGTCTTCCTCTGCAGATCCTGGCCAGAGTCGTGCTGGGCTGCTGAGCCCCTGCGCGAGCACAGCCCTCGGTGCCGGTTTTCCTCTCGTAGCTCCTTTCGGCTTGGTAGAGCTGTGCTGTTTGGGGGCTGTCCTGGCTTACACGGGACAAGGCAGCCAGGAGAAGGCAAGGTGGTGTCCCTGGGGATGGAGGAGATGGCACCAGGAAGGGAAATGGGGGACAGCAGGTGCTCAGTGGGTTTGGCTGTTCTGGCAAACTGCACCATTGCTTTGTGTTTGGCACTTCTTGCTTGGACCTGCGGCTTTAGAAAGAAAAAGAACTAAAATCAAAGAACAAATATGCTCTCTGTTTGACATAGATGTGTCTCCTGGTTCTCTGTTTTGCTGAAGGTAGAAAGTTGCTTTTACTTGATGCTCTGAGATGATTTGTGTCTGTTTTACTTTCAAAGAATGGTGTATGCCTGGTTTTTTTTTTTTTTTTTTGCTTGCTTTATTTTAGAAACATTCTGGTATGTTTAAAAAAACCCCTCCAGCAGTCAGTATTTCAAATTAAGAAAATATAATCACATAGAAGGGCATATGAAAGTCGTATCTATATTTGTTTATTTATTTATTTTGCTGAGATTGCATTATCATTCAAGCATGAAGCGATGTTTCACTGAAGATTACTGTATAAACCTATATTGTTCTATATTATGTAGGAAATACGACATTTCATTATGAGCAGACAGTTATTTTTATAGAGAGCATAAAAAGTATTTTCCCTTTCAGGCACCTGCAGTGAGGGGGTGTATATATTCCCATTTTTTCTTTATTTGAAGTGTGAAAATCAACCTGAAAATAGAAAGCTCTTATTCTAAATGGATCGTACTCCCAGTTCATTTGTATGGTACTTTCTGCAGCAATCAAGCAAAACACAAACAGATGACATACCCGATGATTGTGTGGCATGAGGGGGGGCACCGCCCGAGAGATGTGGGGGGCCATCCCATGGGGCACGGGAGCTGGGGTGAAGCAGTGCTGGCTGGGCCATGCCCTGAGCCAGGCCTGATGCGGCTCCTTCCCAGCATTCAGGCCCCAGGTTGTGAGCCCAGGGCTGCACTCAGCACCCCGACAGGTTTATCATCTCTGAAATGCCAGGTCGCGTGCCCCTTGGATCCTCATGAGCCTCGGTGTGCTCCTCAGCTTACGAGCCCAGTCGCGGACTATTGGGTCACGTTTGCCATCTCGCCGCTGAATTGCTGGGAAGCTCCCCTTGTTGTAGTTACTGAGGTTGAGTTACGAAGAACAGCATTTCTGTAGACGTTTTTGCATCTGCAAGTATGTTTTTCAGTTGTCTAGCGGTAGGGGATGTTCCTGGGCACTGGCGATGAGTAGACCTACTCCAGATAAATGGCACCATACTTAGCAGCGTGTTAATTTTTAAAAGCCTAGTTATGTAGCTTCCTTTATAGGAATTATACTAGAATAGCATTACGAAGCAGTGTGTAAATACTGTTTGTTATCTACTAGTTTGAACACACGATTCTGGAATGTCATGATTTAGTGTCTATGGCCTATATTGATTTTAATCAACAGAGAATGAATAGAAGGTGTTGCCAGTGTTTTTGCTGTATTCATGACTATGAAGAGGTGGTAGAGTATAACACGATATTTCAAATTATGTTTCTAACTGGAGTAGTCAGTGCGTTGATTATTCATTCGTGATTCCAACTAAAGAATCCTATATTTTTATATAAATTTTGGTGGACAGATGGTAGGATGAGGCTTTATACCTGCCCCCGCCCCGTAATGAGAAAATGTTGTGCTTTGCAAGGCATGATTGAAGTCTGAACATACATGTTTCACTGACAGCACTGCCTGTGCTTTCATGTGGAAGACTTTTTGAGAGCTTTGATAAGTTGTATTTTATTTCTGGCAATTTTGACACCTTTAAGGAAAAAAAAAAAAGGTAAGATACTAAGGTTCTTAACCTTCAAAACAAGGATAATTATCATCAACTGTCGGCTCTTGAATGTTTTATCTCTGAGTGTTACTCGTGCCTTGGAACTTAGTACCAGTGGATTGTCTGTCTGTGTCAATAGCAAATTGGATATCTTACTGGTATGTGGGACACATAGTTTTGTGTCTTCTGCATCAGGTCTTTTCGAAGAAACTAGGTAGTATTTATGACCGGTAATAACACTTGGTAGGTGAAGATAATGATACAGATAATGAGATCTTATAGATAAAGACAAAATCTGGTCTTCTGTGCTCAATTGTTTATTCCTCCATTCCCCTTTGTGATGGCAGTGGAAACGATTTCTGTTCTTTGGAGCTTTATCCTCTGCTATGATAAAAGTGGCATTGAACAAATAGTTTGATGCTGTAAAGTGGGCATTATATTTATTTATCATGTGAATTTGAGCCTCTGGCAAAGATTTTTAAATGATGACTAGTGATTTTTGATGTCTAATTTGCAGTACTTTTCAGAGGTGAGCTTTTCAGAGTGCAAGTGTGTTACGGATTCTGAGTGTGCAGGCTCATTTGGAGGGCTCTAACCTTCACAGGAAAAATTGAGACACCCAATTACAAAACATGCTTGAATACTTTTTCCTTGGAGTTTGGCTTTAGTCCGTGGCATTCCCTCAGTAGTTGCGTGTTGGAGTTTCAGGTTGTTTTTCAAGCCAGTCTCTCCTCTTTCTGTCTGCAAAGCCTCATTTAATGACACCATGTTTTTTTTCCCCGCAGTGAAATTCTGAATTGTAAATCTCATCACTACTTTGTGTGTTACAGCATTCACGCTTGGGCAGTATTCTCAGGATTCAGTAGAGTTATAGGGTTTTCTGCCAGCTGAGAATTTGTGCCTGCATTTCTGGCTTCAAAGTAAACCTTTCGAAAGGAAGCGCACTGGGCTTCTAATTGGTTATGACATCCAGGAACCGCAAGTGGCACAGGTCTTGCAAATGTGTGACAGAGGCCCAGCATGAGAGACGTGGCAAGGGGTGGGAAGGTGAAATGCCATGGTTTCTCTCTTTTGTCATTAATCGTCTTTCATAGTGATGATGTATTGTGAATAAAAGGATAAGATAAAAATGTATGTGGTAGGAGATGGTGCATTTGAATCTTAGAAGACCAGATATGAGAAGGCATGCTGCCTCTCGGACATCAGCAGGATTAGCGAGACTGAAGTATTTCTGGATCTGCCTGGTCAGACTGTAGTTTAATAAATATTTTATGAGCTGTCACGCTTTGCTTGTTGAAACTGAGAAATCTTTGAAATGCTGGTGGATTGCAAGCGTGTCTTGTATTTATTTCTCAGGCAGCACAGCCATATAGCATTATTAGCAATAATACATCTCTGCCGTACACAGTGCAAGGACAGGTTTCCTCTGATGTACAATGGGAGATGGTAACGGAGTCAGTGGTAAAAACTGAAATTGGAGCTTGGTGAATTGTGTTGGGAGAGGCAGTGCCAGAGATTTCTCAGAATTTAGGAACCTATTTATCTGACTGCAGCACACCTTATTTACAGCAACTTAATCTGCTCACAGCAGACACAAATGGCTCAGCATCCCGTTAAAAATTCTGTCAGAAAATCAGTAGCTGACCAGTTGTGAACTTGTCAAAGTGACAAGTGGGCATGCTGACAGAGATGGCATTTGGGTTTTTTCATTGAACAAATGTAGTGCGGGAGCATGATGGATGACTCTCAAAAATGAAAAATATTGAGGGGAAAATGAAAAATGTAATCTGAATTTTTCTGACTTTGCATTTTTACTGGACTGTTGTTTCCCTCTTTTTTTTTTTTTCTTTTTAAAAATAAAATCCTTAGATATAGAAAGAGAAATCCATGCAGCGCCCCATGTGAGTGAGAAGTTAATTCAGCTCTTCCGGAATAAAAGTGAGTTCACGTTTCTGGCCACTCTGCAACAGAAGGCATTGACTTCTGGAGTTATACTGTCCATCCGAGACCTAGAGCACAGGTAAGAGGAAATTGTTTCTCTCTTGTAGGAGTAGCGACGTAAAAGATACCAAGCGCTCAGTGATCCATTTTGACAGTGTGTTGAAATGGTAGATGTAAAATGTGACATGTAATTTAAAGCCTTTCTTCATAGTTTGCAATTTGCTACTTTTTGCTAGTTGTTTTTTGTTACAGGAGGAATGAATTATTTATGTGTCCTGGTCTGTAAAATAAATTAACTTAAACGGAAAGATCAAAACCACTGTAGTATAGACACAATGCACTTTGGAAGTTACAAACCTTGGAATGCAATTTCCCTTACTAATTCATCATATGCACTTTGGAGTTTGTTTTTTCATAAAAGTTAAACTTGCATGTTTCCTGCCTCACTGTGTTTTATAACATTTTGAAATAGTATGTTTTCTTTTTTGAGACTCAGCAATTAAGCTATTAAGCAATTAAGGTGCTTGTGCTTCCGTATGTAGGGTGACGTGCATGTTTTCTTCTTGGCGTAAATACAGTATATTCTTATTCCATGTATGTGTCTTTTTTTTTTTTTCCCTTTTTTTGTTGTTGTCAGTGTAGGAGGAAAAAAAGGGGTCCTCTTCATTAGCTATTATAGTGGCAGACAGCAATTTATTAAAAAAAAAAAGTGTACCTTGTATTATGGCCCGTAATATAATTCCAACGATATTTTGATGTTTCAAAGCGTGTGTTTTGTCAAATAGTCTCCTACTTGTAACTTTGTGAATGTTTTTTTCATAATTTCTTAGAGCTTGAAGGACCTGTGTATCCAGCCTGACTTTCTGTTGTAATACACGTAATAGGATGTACATTGGTTGCTCCCATTTCAAATCAAACTTAATACCAGTCATTTTGCAGAATTTCTTTTAGGAAAAAAAAAAAATCCTATTGGTATTTAATTTTGTAAATCGTGTCCAACTGTTAGCACAATTTCTTACCTTCTGTTGAGAATGTATATGAAGGAGAAGGCAGTGGCTTTATTATGACCAAATTGTCAGTGGGGGCTTTTTGCCAGTGCAACAGCAGAGATGTTTGGGCAAGGATAGCGCAGGGGAGGACTGTGCTACTCCCTTATTCTATCATCATACTTTTCTGTCACCTCTACTTTCTTATTGGTCTCTTCCTTATACTTTACTCCTTCTTTCATTTTCCAGGCCACTGTCTCTATATATAAGAATAGTGTTTTGCATTACACAAGGATCCCTCCCTCCAACTCTTCCTGTTTTCCTTCTCTCAATCTATTATTCGCTTTGTTGTTGCTTTTTATTTCCTCCAAGCTTTTCCAGGACATTGTAGCGCTCTGAAGTCACGGTTAAGAGGATCAGTTTGCCATGTTAAGGGACTTTTAAAAAAAATAGTTTTAATTTGAGAAAGAGGACATAGAGGAGAGCTGTTGACAGAGGAACACTGTCACATGTAGGGACACATGCATGCACTCAGCAAAATCCAAGGTCAAACTAGACAGGCAATGATTATTATACAATGCGAGGCACATGGAATTTTAGACACGGCCTCTTCTGAATTTAGCTGCTTAACTCCTCTATCTCAATGGGCAGAGAAAGAGCCTCGTAGAGAGATGTACTGTGCAGGAGTAATCTTGATTGAACAAAATGTGCTGCTGATGTCCTTCTTGGCACTGAGGTTATCTCTAGTATTCCAAATTAATAGACATCTGTTTAAAAATATGTATAGTTGAAGGACTGGGTGCTAGTCTCACTTAAACCTTTGTGGTTCTGTGTAGTAACAGAAGTAGTTTCAGTCTGTGAAGTCCTATGTAAGAGTGGAAATGGACATGTCCTGTATTGCTAATGACGGCTGCTACATTCTGAATGTGGGATGGATTACTGCAATTATACTTCTTTTCTGCACTCATTGTGTATCACTTAAAACAGATTCACTGTTTCCTTCTCTAGTTTCTTAAGTTGCTACTTGGACCTTGATAAGGATAGTGCTTTCAAACCCTTAGGTCTATAATGGCAGAAATTGATGAAGTGGATGACAGTGGAGAAAATAACTTTTAACGTTGATGAGTAGAGAGCAAAGATTTTGGGGCACTACTGAAGAGGACCCTGGTTACATTATGACCAATGTAATAGTAGAACTTTCAGCTTGATGTTTTTTTGATGTTGCTTTAACTGCTCAGGTCACTTGCGTGTGAACTGAAATGGATGCAGGCCCTTGACACTCTGGGAAGCATTTTTTAAATTGTTGTACCTACTAAGCTTTTGATAATTATCGTGGTTCTGTTTTGGTGATGTCCAATTTTTCTGTCAGACTTCTTTCAACCTCCCATGTGCCTATGAAAATAGGCAATGCAAAGGGTATAGTAAGAAACATCATTATGTTTCAGCGTGCTGAAGACCTATGGGAACAGCAATAAGGGTACATTTGTTGCCCAACCCGTCTAGTTTTTGACTACATATAACAGCATAACTAGTTCAAAAGGCAGTTTTGTGTGATGTATGTAGCGGAAGAGATCCCCATAAGGTACAAGTGAAAACTTAAGAGGCAGTAATACATAGAATGCTTGGTTTATGTTTCATTTCTCTAGTAAGTTTTAGCAGGACTTTATTTTCCATTAATAGCATGGAAATCTGAAACTAAGATGTGTAGGCTATTCTAGAAATAAGTAAGTAAATGGATCTTAAATCTTCATGAAAACCAAAAAAATGTAATATAAGAGATATTAAAATAAGATGAATACCACTTTCCTTGAAGTCAGTAATTCAGATGTGCTGTTTTGTTATACTAAATGGATATTTTGCAACAATTAGAGATTTGTTGCTGATTGATATCATCATTTGATGGACAAGATTTATACTACAAAGATGATAAATAATTCTTTGTTAATATTTTAACTTGTTGAATCAGCTTAATGATGATAAAGACTTTATTTTCATGATCCAAATGTATTAAAATACAGCTTGGAAAATGGAAAGTTTAATTAACACAGATTAAGTGTAATTGAACAGTCTGATAGTATGTGCAGACTGTGTACATAGTTATCTGGAATACAGCGGTAAATCTGAAGATTATAACTTTTTTTTCCTAAATCATAGAGAAGAAAAATGTAATACAGGATGTACAACCATGTTACTTGGGGATGCAGAAGGTGGAAACTATTTTCTTTGTTGGAGTATGATGCTAGCCAGTTCTTTTTAGAGAATCTTTGTGAACTGCTTTGCTCACAGCCTTCATCTCTTCAGACCACTAAGATGCTTGGGAAAGGCCATCAAGATATTTGAAATCCCACCCATAATGAATCCTTATTTCAACAGTGATTTAATACAGTTTCATCCACAGTTGCCTGCCTGCTCCTTACCTGCTCTGGCCTCACACAGTCCAAAGCCCAAGAATGTAAATTAGATGGAGTCAGCATTGCCTTTGTGGTGTTTGCTCACTGGGTTGGAGGTATATTGATGGTTCCTTCCTGCTGCTGGCCAAGATCAGTATCGGGAGAAATCTGTCAAGGATGTTCAGGTACCCAGGGTAGCGTTCTTTCAAATACTGGCTTTCACCAAAGGAGCTGACTGTGATTTCCTGACTACTCTGGGGCACAGTTTAAAAAGAACTGACTGTTATGATTTTTTTTTTTTTCATTGTTGATGTGAAAATTCCATGCCCCTCCTGTACTTTGTCTGTAAAAATAATGAATTACAGTGAGTGGGAAAGGAAAGCCTTTGTGTGCTTTCAATGCATTCTAAGGTTTTTCGTGCTTGGAAAGAATGGGTAAGGGACCTGAAAAAGATTGGCAAGCATTCTTTTGGTGAGTGGTCACCCCACTGACTAGCTTATAACATTTTCAGGTCGTTTACTGCTCAAACTTTCAATAATGACCTTTTAATTGCTAGGGGCTTTCTTGGAAGTAGTCACCATTGAAGCACTACTCATGTCTAAGCATGGTAGGCCTAAGGTATCAGGAAGTATTGAGTCCAGAATGATTTTTCTGCTAATGGACAAAGCTGAAGCTCCTCAAATCAGATGAGTAGTGCAACTACACATCACTGGGGATTCTGCTACTTACCTGAAAGGAAATAAGAGGAAAAACAATCTTTACAGTATGTTACACAGAAAGTGGCAGCTGGCCACCAAGCTGTCATCTGGTCATGATGCGGAAGGTAATAACTCTGGGTCAGGTTTTCTCATCTTTCATCAGGCAAAATTCCCTTTGACTTTTTGAAAGTAATCTGTTGGGTATTTACTTGCTTTGTAACAAGCTGCCCTCCAAAGAAAGATTTTCTTCTTAACCATTGGTTTATTTTTGTGCAATGCAGAGAGGTTTGGCATTGTAATACAGAATATGCAAAACTAAACTAGTAAGGAGAGGAGCCATCACCCATGAATTACACATAAGAAATAGGCTAATACCCTTATTGATTTTATCCTCAAGGTCTCATTATGTGCATTTTTCAAGGTCTCTGTCTTGTGTGGTGTTGGCCCCCGCCTTGCCTTCCCAAAGAAGTCATTGTTAATTCGTTACTCTTATTGGTTACTAAAGAGGCAGGGTGAAAAAGTAACTGTTTTGTAAAATGCTGCCATCCTTATACCTCCCTACTATTTTGTGTGTGTCCCGTGTCTGTCTTCTCTGTTTGCTTCGTGTTTATTAGTACTAACTTTCTATCCATGTGTTGTCCTTCTTTCTGAAGAGGGTTTCAAAATGGGGTGAATGTAATGATTCACCATTATAGAACTAGGGAGTGAGTCATAAGATTAATGTTCCTAAGATTTTTCTTACAGGGAGCACTAAAACCTTAATATTTTTCTAAATTTTATGAGGGTTTTTTTTTTCTTGGTTTTTACGCTTATAACCTATATCTAGGACCTGAACTTCAGAAAATTTCTGCCACCCCAGGTATTTAGAAACTTGCAAGCTAATGGTACTGCTGTGGTGAAATGATTTATTGAGTGGAGAATTTGGCCCTTCACTATGTAACAGCAAGCTGTATTGGTATAAATGTTCAGGGGGATTCTGATAAATGTTTTAAGCTCATAGTTTCT